AGCCTCCCATAGTTTAATATGAAGTGACGTCATTCCAGTCAACGCATCCAAGAACTCCCTAAATTGTGCAGTTAAACAACATTTCCAAGCAAAGGAAGGACTCAGGGAAGGTGGTACGTTCCTCATTGGTAGAGAGAGATCTGGTGCCACAAAAATTTTTATGTTTGAAATTTAATTTCCTCCTTAGGTTAGAAAGTCTATCAACTGATGTGCATTTTCAAATCTGAGACTATGGGTTTTTTTATGCCTAAGACACTTGACTTGGCTCTCTTTTTATAGGATGTCTGACAAAAAGAAGCTTTCCTCTTACAAGTATCTAACTTCAGATTGTACAGGGTTTTTCTAAAAATCTGGTTATGTGTGACATTCTACAATTCAGCAAAATAATCAAGCAGGGCAACTGGGCAAGGTGGTTAAACTTCAGAGTACTTTGTGGACGTAAAGGTTTACAGTTTGGAAACCGTGCATCGTCTCAGAGGTGACGGGGGGAAAAAAACAATCTGGGCGCCCATGGTTCATAACTAGTCAATTGATGGCTAGAGCTCTGTTTAAGAATGACAAACGGACTGAAATCAGATGCAGTTGCTAAGGCAGTCTCATCCTCAGCAGGCTTTAAGTATGAAAACTACAGTCTACCTGCAATTTATGTACATCTTTTATTTCAAGTGGTGGCTGTTTGATTTACTCCAAATTATAAACACACAAAATTCTTGATGAGCTGCGTTGCTAAGTTTATTCTCTTGCGCTGGCTTTTACCCACCTGATCACCTGCCACCTGTTTCGGCAGCCCCCACAGCAACGAGGATTTTTATTCAGTTCCTCACTCCCACTGCGCACAACACATACCCATCTACACGTGCACAAATGCACACACAAAACATACCTGAAGCCCTCCAAACTGTATTTGGTACCTTATGCGCTTAAAATGTAGGTATGAGTTAGCGTCCGTCATTTATATGTTCATTTTTAGAGCTTTGGAAATGAACTAAAGCTCATGCTTGAACAAACAACATTAAAATGAGCTTCTGCAGGGGTCACAGAAATGGTTTACTGTTCAAGGAGCAATGTTTGAACGAGTACTTCTAAAGCCAGATTAAGTTTTTAAGCAGTTGCTAAAAAATTAATGAGGTTTAATGTGACCTATTTAGGAGAAACAGTTCTTTGTTGTGTTCTGTTAGAAGACTAATCCCCCTATGAGACAACAAATAAACAAAAATCCTATTTCCTTATCCCTTCTTTATTGGATCCCACCTGCCTACAAAAGTAAAGGGGGGTTAGAAGAGCATAAAGTGGGTCAAGAGTGTACAGTTAAAGGGGAGAGCTTTACGCCTACCATTACTGAAAAGGTCAGCTGGCAAACCGGGATTAGTTTTGCCCCCAGAGCAGAAGGCCCTCTCTCTCATCTATTTAGATGAGGTAACAGTTCTGTGATGACTGGAAGCTGAAATGGTTCAAGCCCCTGTGTTGCCAGTCTGAACCCCTCTGCCCCCTACACAAAGGGACTCTGTGGTCCTTTCAGAGTGACTTCTTAGAGCTATGTCTTCTAAGCTGAGAAAGTTCTGAGATATGCCCCAATATGCCACAGACCCTGGGGATAGTCAATGGATGGTAAGCGGCTGCCAGGGTGGCCTGACCACTCCCACTGGACCACAGATGCTGATCTCAGAATCTTTGGCACTTTCTGAAATGTGGCTCAGCAGTAATTTGGAAGCCTAAACTCTGACTTTAGGAATTCATAAGAACAACTGATGTTTTACAAACTCAACAGAAAGTAAAATAAACAAACCCAGGGTTTTATACTCCCTCTTGTTATTTTTATGGCAATCTTTCAAACTAGTTCAAAATGTTCAGTCCTCTACCCTCTCCAGAAGTTCTGAATTGGGGTTGGGGGTGGGGAGGGGAGGAAAACAACCATTTAATAGTAACCGGCATATGCTGTAATTCACCAGAGGGGAAGAGGGAGTTGGAAGGAAGCTTTGTGGGTGAAAGAGTACAGGTGTCTTTCAGGCTGGTACTGAAGTCTCACTCTTTCCCAACCTTCTTGCTGAGTAGGGTCCGATAATAAAAACAAGGATGTTTATATTTACCCAGAAGTGTGCGTGGCAATTGACCATCATGGTTCTCTCAATGAGCTCATCGGGACATTCCAGAAGGTGATGCCCAGACACCACGCCGGCATTATTGACCAGGACGGAGACCTCGCCAACTTCCTTTCGGACCCTTTCTGCCGTCAGGTAGACATTCTCCCTCTTTCCCACATCACAGGTGTAGGTAAAAACCTGCAAGTTACAGTGGGGCAGAATTTCTTCCTCACCATTCCCAGCTGTCCTCAGAAGTCCAGATGAAGGGGAAAAAAAATGGAACAGAGAAGGGATGGGGCGGGGGGGTGCAAAACATGAGTCACGTGGCCATTAGTAGGACAAAGATCACACAAAACAAAAATACTACAGTGAGCTTCAAGTTTCTAACACCATAAGGCTTGCCAATGACTGCACTTACAGCTGCCTTCCTCCCCCTAGTCTTTGGGAATTACAGCAATTTACTGGATAACTTTGCTTAGGGGAAAATCATGTAATTGTGACCAGCCCAATACAAGTCAGACCTCATGGGATTGGCTTTCTGGAGCTAAAGACACCTGGAATGAACGGATCTCAGCCCAGAGAGTAACACCTCCTCCTCCCAAACACACACACACTCCTTTTTGGGGGGAACAGTGGTCAGAAGCAGCTCTTACTCTTTAGTCTGTGTGCCCCAAGGCTCACAAATCAAAACTGTAATTAATAATCTGAATTCAGCCAAAGCCCAGAAATGAACTGAATTTCTAAAGACAAAGTGGGGATCACACTGGTTGGTCCTACCTGGAGTAGGACCTGGAGAAGTAGCCTTACATAAACCGAGTTGACAGGTAAATGTGTTATTTTCCTGTATCAGAACTGAATCTAAAAACCTGATCTCTTCTCTGGAAAACAACTACCTTTCTCTTTTAGGTTTGGGCACAGAGCACAGAAATCTGTTTGCTACCTTCATATCAATGGAGAAAATGTACCAGTTTTGACCTTTGGTTTTCCAAAGGTCAGATAAAACACAGGTGCCAATAATTTTAGTGATAAATGATCGATATGGGGAGGGGTGGTGTCCAAGCCCCAATAAAATTCGGTGTTTTCTCTGGAAATGAAAAAATTGTCAAAAAGCAAGAGCCATTATCAAATCCAGACCGATACTTATAGTCGATTATGTCTCCACTTTGGCTTTTTTTTTAAAGTCTCAGACTCAGGTTAGTTAATAAATACCCAGAAATGCAGATTTCCTAAGGTTATCAAAAACATGGAATGAATTTTACAATAAGGCTTAAATCCTTCAAGAGTTTTCCCTTAAGAGGCCGGGTGTCTTTCAATTGGGCTGAGTATGTAACTAAAGCACTGACTTAACATCTCCAGTGCAACAATGTTAATTATTTTCCCGTGGCTAAACTTATAGTGAAATCATCAATGCTGCCCTCCTCTCAGCCCTTCAGACCGCAGTAACATACGCGTATGTATCAATGAGCAACTCGGAGAACAACTTCCCAAAGACACTAGTTTCTCCTTCCCAAACGAGACTGAGACATCTCTTTAGGATTCAAACCGGGGGTCCCACGTTCCCTCGCCCTGCGTAGACTCCGAGGGCTTAGGAAAGCCCACTGTCTTCCCCAAAGGGACTGGACCTCTGTTCAGATCGGGCTTTGGCACACTTTCTCCCTTCTGATACAGAAGGGCTCATGCTCCTGATGAGGGGGCAAATTCCACTCGCGGAAGCCTGGGTTGCAGGGGGTAGGGTGCTCTTCCTCGAGAGCAGGACCGCCCGTGACCGTGGGGTTCCGGCGCCCTCGGGGGGAGGGCGTGGGGGTGGGAAGAGGCTTGACCCAACAATGCCGCGGGCGTCGGTCCGAGTTACCTTGCAGTGCCGCGGCGTCGGCCGCCTCCAGGTCGCGGTAGATGTGGCGCACCATGCCCGCCGTCTCCTCGTTGCTCTGGGTGTTGATGTCCCAGAGCACCAGCAGCGCCCGGCGCCGGGCGAACTCGAGCGCGAAGAGGCGGCCCAGGCCGCTGCCGGCGCCCGTAATGAGGCACACCTGGCCGGCCACGCTCTTCTCCTTGGGCCGCACCAACCAGCGCGCCGCGGCCAGCACGAACGCCCAGAGCACTTTGAAAGTGACCACGAAGAACTCCACCACGATGTTCATCGCGACGTCCCGGGGGAGCCCCCGCACGAGCCCAGCGCCCGCGTCCGCCCCCTTCCCCGAGCTGCCCCGGGGGCGCTGGTCAGAGCTGCTGGGACCCGAAGGCTGCGCCCCGCGCCCGCCCTCGAGGTGCCCGCCGGGCTGGAGTGCGCGGCGCCGCTCCCCGCTCGCGCGGGGCCACTCCCGCCCGGGCTCGGCGCGGTGGCCCCAGGCTGTGCCCGGCTCGGCGCCTCCTGCCGGCTGCTGCCCGCCGGTCCTGGAGAGCTCGCTCCGCCGGCCGGTCCCGCTGCAGCGGCGGTGACAGCCGCGAGTTAGGCGGCGCGCGCGGCTCTCATGGCCAAGGCGCCGCCGCAGCTCCCTCTCACTCCCGGCGAGGGGCGCGCGGCGGAGACTGCACGGTCCGGCCGGCAGCCGCGGGAGTTGTCAACTTGACCCAAGTTGCGAGAGGGTGGGAGAGTGGGGTGCGGGGCAGCGGGAGCGCCGGGAAGAGGGGACTCGATCGGCGCCGGCGAGCGCTCCCCCTCGGCTTGCGGCTGCCTTCGCGGTCTCGTGGCCCCTGGCCCTGCGCCCCCCCACGGCTGTCACTCGGGCACCGGGTTCCGCAGCGCAGCGCCGATGGCGAGTCGGTACGCCGCCGGCCGCCGCTGAGCGGGCTCCACGCTCCGCGATATATAACCCTCGACCGGGAAGAGTCGGCGGCGGCATCGGCCCTCCCCCAGCTCGGCCCTCCCCGCCCCCCGGGCNGCTCTCATCGTACCAATTAAAGAGTCTAGCCAATGCATTCATTTTTCCCATACACATTTTACCAGAAACTTGGTTGTAAAGAGGCTGAGTCAGGCAGTTCTTACTTCTGCGTCTGCGAGTTCTTAGTTCCGAGTTCTTTTCTGGCTTATCCCGAGACACCTATGAGTCTTGGGGCTTCACGCTCGCCGTCTTTAAGTGGACAGCGCGCATGCGCCAACTTCCTCTTTCCCGGCTGGAACCATGGAGGGTGCAGAGTAAGCTTCTCCTCGTCTTCTCGAGTATCCTCCTCCATCCCCGAAACCAGAGCCCTCCAGTCTCTCTGTCCCTCGTTCCGTCTGTAGCTTGTATCTTTGCCAACATATCTGTGTGTTTGTGACGCGCTGTGACACTACTAGTGGTCTCAGGCTAAGATGGGATTCAGGCGGCCTTGGGGAGGAGGTCTTGGAGGGTACCGGGAACAAGGTGTGAGAGCTGAATGTATGTGGGGTTGTCCAGTCCCTCGTCCTAGGAGAGAGGGTCAGAACCTCTGAATTGGGTTCTTCCTTAGCTGACTTTTGCCCCAGACTTCCCTGGTATCAGGCCTTTACTTAAACATGTGGAACTTGAAGTTTGAACCGGGGTGGTGGTAGGTGGTTTACGAGTCACACTAATAGTCTAGGGATCAGTGTCTTGCAGCAGTCTTTTACTCTGTGTTTCGCTGTCGCTATTTTTGTTGTTTTGGGACCCCGGGACTGATTGTAGGTTAAATGTGAATTTGTTGTCTATCATTCGTTTAAAGACAGTGGTCCGTGTTAGACATAAAGATTACAGGTATAGCATACTAGAACTAGTACGTTGAGAGCGTGCTCGGTACTGAATGGGGAGTGATGTGTTGTGGGCCTTTTGAACTCTTCCTGTCTGCTGTTGTCAGAGAGAAGAAAAAGAAGGTTCCTGCTGTGCCAGAAACCCTTAAGAAAAAGCGAAAGAATTTCGCAGAGCTTAAGATCAAGCGCCTGAGAAAGAAGTTTGCCCAAAAGATGGTAAGTAAACTTTTTGACGCACCAGTAAAGAAGTCCTGTGATTGAAAATGAGTCGGATATTTTTAACAAGGCTTATTTCAGTTCCTGTACCAGTCAGTGTGGTTAACTTTTAGAATGATCTTTTCTAATGAAGTTGGTGTCCTTCTCTTGGATGTTAATATGTATGATGTTGAGAAAGTTTCAAGAGAAGAGTGTTATATTAACTAGTATTGCTAATTGTGTTTGGGAGCCAAAAAGCAGATGAATAAGAACGTTGGTTTTTCAGCTTCGAAAGGCAAGGAGGAAGCTTATTTATGAAAAAGCTAAGCATTACCACAAGGAATACAGGCAAATGTACAGAACTGAAATTCGAATGGCTAGGATGGCACGAAAAGCTGGCAACTTCTATGTACCCGCGGAACCCAAATTGGCATTTGTCATCAGGATCAGAGGGTAAGTTCAGTCTTTATTGCATTCTAGTCTTAAAGGGAAAGCTGTCCACTCTCAGCAAAATTTCACATTTGTGGGGCCTTGGTTCTAATACACTGGGACAGAAACTTGAATGGTAAGTGGAATGGGGTGGGGGAGTATTTTAGTGATGATAAGCCCTGTGCCCAAAGCATCTGTCCATTCTCTCATTGAACACTTGAGTTCAGTGTCCTGGAGAATGACTTAAAACAGGTGTGTATAAAAGGAAGTAATGAGAGCATTGGGGAAATTTTTGAATATTTTGGGGAGGCAAGTTGACAGGGGATAGAATACAGCTATAACTAAAGGAAAGAGTGGTCCTGTAACAGGAGAAGATTCCTATTTGGGTGTGACATGTTGCCCAAAAATGTTAGTTCCCTGTCTTTTTTTATTGTAAAAAGTGTGATGAAAGCTGAAGGGATTTTCTATGTTTTTTCCTTGCAGTATCAACGGTGTGAGCCCAAAGGTTCGAAAGGTGCTGCAGCTCCTTCGCCTCCGGCAGATCTTCAATGGCACCTTTGTGAAGCTCAACAAGGCATCAATTAACATGCTGAGAATTGTGGAGCCATACATTGCATGGGGGTAGGTGTCTTTGACTTCTTTTTTGGTAAGTTGGCTACATTAGTGAGATGAATTATAGGGGTTTTGACAGCCATAGTCTTATTTGGTCATTTATGCCTGTTTTTCTTCTCATATATAGGTATCCAAATCTGAAGTCTGTAAATGAATTGATTTACAAGCGTGGTTATGGCAAAATCAACAAAAAGCGAATTGCCCTGACAGACAACGCATTGATTGCTCGATCTCTTGGTAGGTTCTGCCTCTATGGGGAAAGGTAATTATTATAAAATTTATTGTATCAGACAAGCTGTTTTTTGGTGTCTTGAGAAACCTTCCCTTATTCCGTATACTACTTATGAAAAAATGGAAGGTGTGATTTTACTGGCTTGAGCTGTATCTTTGTATGTAAAGCCTCATATTTTCTTGTTAATTTCACTCTGGATTTACTTTTAACTCAGTTACAGCCTGTACTCTTTAATGCCTTAAAATGTTATAGTCTCAAAATAATTTTAATAACCTTAAATAATCTTGAACACGTTCAGGGAAATACGGAATCATCTGCATGGAGGATCTGATTCATGAGATCTATACTGTTGGAAAACGTTTCAAAGAAGCAAACAACTTCCTGTGGCCCTTTAAATTGTCTTCTCCACGAGGTGGAATGAAGAAAAAGACCACCCATTTTGTAGAAGGTGGAGATGCTGGCAACAGGGAAGACCAGATCAACAGGCTTATTAGAAGGATGAACTAAGGTGAGCAACTACATCCAGAAAGAAGTTTACTTAATGCTAGAGTAAATTGATCTAAATGCTGATAAGGGTTTCACTGAGTTGGCATTTAGTGGGGGAAAATCAACCATGTAATATGATCACAGCTGATTTGGTTTTCCTTTTTGAGGACATTATGGAGAGAAGAAAAGGCCTGTTTTTTTCCCTACTTAAAAGTGGAAGCAGTTGGTACTGATAACTCCTGGTATGTGTTAATTTTTAATTATTATGTTTAATGGGGTTTTTTTTTTCCTTCCTTTCAGGTATCTACCAGGATTATTTTTGTAATCTGGTCCGTTAATAAACAGTTGAAACAAATTGAAATGCATTGCCTTGGTTGACTTTGATCTTTCCTTTGCAAATCTTGGTGCGACAAGATTAAGTCAAATCAACAGCCTAGCCTCTTGGATGCAAAACTTAGGGTCCAGCCTGTGTCTTGTGAAAAACATTCATTGGGTTTATTGAAAATTTTCCTGTACCAAAAAAAATCCTGATTTTTCAGTTGGCCAAACTGGGTCTAATCTAAGAAAGCCTATTTCACAGGCCTTTGTGCATGATGGAAAGTTCAGTTTACAGATTAAAAATGTTGCAGAAATTCCATTTTCTCAGGCTTTGGCTTGCTTATAAAATAGTAATCTTAATGTCAATTTTCTTTTTGCATTTCATTCTTATTTTTGCTTTGCATCTTTTACCCATACTTTAGTGAGTTTTTAATATTTCTGCTATGTATTGTGTGTAACAAGAAGAAAGGAAATTTGTGCCTGTGAATGTAATTTATAAGTAACACTCTTTGCATAACATGGAATAAAGTAAAAAGTTTTACTATCATTGCTGATTGAGCCAAGGGTATGATGCAGTGTGAAATAGATGGCCCTAGAATTTTGATGATATTGTACCAGAATCATAACTTTTTAGTATTTGAAAGTTAAGTATATTTAAATACAGTCTTGGGTCTTGAAAGCTGTTTATCTGGATTAGTGAGTTTAGGCTTAGTGAATCCTTAGAGGAAATTAAGAAGGTTGTTTGTAAGCAATGTTACATAATTGAGTATCAGGTGTTTTGCAAGAAATTTAATGTCTTGGTAAACAGTTGGATCTGTGTTTAAAAATCATTAATTTCTTGGTGGAGCCTAAAAGTCTTTATCTTTGAAATTACCTATTTCATTTTACTGCTTTGATAAGTAAATACACAGTATAGTCCCCAGTCTTTGCACATCCTAGTATCCTGAAATGTAGAAGTAGCTCAGAAGAAAATGTCTGGTTACTGTGACGGTTGTTCAAGTGGCGTTTGGCTAACTACCTAGGCATGGGAGGGTGGAGGGAAACAATGTAGGATTTGGAATAGTAATAAGAATGATATTCTATATGTGGGATGGTATTTTAACAATGCCTCTTGTAAAAAAAAAGATTGAAGAGCAGTTTGAGGTTCACAGCAAAGTTCGCATGTATCCTCCTGTGCCCAATACCCAGTCTCCCCCTCTATCAACACTGAGGGCCATGTTTGTTACAGTCCTTGGATGTTGACACATCTCCCAGAGTAGCCAAGTTTCTGAAGCTAGTGAGGATAAAAAGACCCTAGATACATGGAGAGGAAAGAAACAGTGTTTGGGCTGTACAGGTCTTCTGCAGACAATCAATCCTAGAAATTCAACTCTCCACATAGTTTCCAAATGGGGCCAGAGGATAGGGAAATGTATGAGAGTTTGTAAGTGGGGAGGATACCATCTGCCTTCACAGGAGTGTAAGAACTAAAAACATGAGAATATTTTGTGAACTGTTAGAACCTGCTGAAATGCAACTTAATGCCTTATTTTACTTAAAATCTCTAACCAGGCTCATTGGTGAAACTCTGGGCACCCAGGTTCCACTTATGCAAAGATTGATCTCATGTAAGGACATTCCAGTTGTAGCCTTCAAAGCTCCAGCTTTATTATTATTAGGTCATCCCCTTGCTACCCTAGTCATAAAGTTTAACTGTCTGTCGCACTCACTGGCTTTTAGCAGTGTTACCCTGGTCTTGGCTTATCTTTGAGGGTTCCTTTGTAGTAAATGATTAAGAGTGCTGGCTTTGGAGCCAAACTGCTCGTAATTCATATCCAGCTTCCACTTAATTGGGTTTCCCTTGTGGGTCAGCTGGTAAAGAATCTGCCTGCAATGCGGGAGACCTGGGTTCGATCCCTGGGTTGGGAAGACCCTGGAAGAGGGAAAGGCTACCCACTCCAGTATTCTGGTCTGGAGAATTCCATGGACTGTAAAGTCCATAGGGTTGCAAAGAGTCAGGCACCACTGAGTGACTTTCACTTTTCCACTTAATAGTTGGAGTCGTTAAATTACTTCATCTCTTGTTCCTTAGCAAAATAGGGGAAATAGTGGTAACTAATAGAATTTTGGTGAAGATTAAAGTACGTCAGGTCATGGAAAATGCTTGGGGTAGTGCCTGGCCCAAACTGCTAAGTAAATGCTATTTGCTGTGTAACTTCAGCATTGAGAGGGATGTACAAAGGAAAATAGCTCTGCTTTCATGTGTTAGTCTAATGGGCAAAATATACTTAAAGATGGTGAGATAAGTGCTACACAAGGATGTCCCAAGATGTGACAGATTCTTGGGTCCTTGGAGACGACCTCCCGGAGAAGATTGACAACTTTGTGCCCCTGCTGTTTTCCTTGACAGATTTGTTACCAGCCAGCCAAAGTCTTACTCTCCTTTAATTTAAGTCAGTCAACTTTTTAAGGTGGGCCATTTTTTTTTTTTTTAAATCCTACACAGTGCCTGACATAGTTGATACTAAGTATTTGTTTTCTATTACTGTAAAAAATTACCACAAACTTAAGTGACTTAAAGCGCAAATTGTCAGAAGTTCAAATCAATTTCACTGGGCTAAATCAAGGTGTCAGCACCCCTTCCTACCTTCTTAAGGCTCTAGGGAAGATTCTGTTCCAATTTCTGGAAGCTGCTTACAATTCTTGGCTTGTGACCTCTTCCTCCATCTTCAAAGTATAGTCTCTGCTTCGGTCATTTCTGGCCTCTAACCTGCCTCCCTCTGCTGTGGACTCTTCTGATGAATGCTGAACCACCTGGATATGCAAGATAATTCCGCATCTCAAATCCATCAATAAAAGATAACATCTATAAAGTCTACGTAAAGCAGCTTATTCGAAAGTTCTAGAAATTAGGACAGGGAGATATTTGAGACGATTTCTCCTTGATCCTTAGGCTTCTCTGATAGCTCGGTTTACCTGCAATGTGGGAGACCCTAGTTACGATTCCCAGGTCGGGGAGATCGCCTGGAGAAGGGAAAGGCAATCCACTCCAGTATTCTTGCCTGGAGAATCCCATGGACAGGAGCCTGGTGGGCTACAGTCCATAGAATCGCAGAGTCGGACCCGATTGAGTGACTTACACACTCCTTGATCCTTAATTTATGACTTGGCTATATTTTCTTTTGTTCCTCAAATGACAAGCTTCTAATGTAGAGTCTTGGCACTTGGAATCTTATGTCTGGAACACTCAACCATGAGAATCTGTATACATGGCTGCTTTTTCATTTTGGAAAAATATCAGACACATCACACATCTCTTTGTATATAAACTTTTTTGTATTTCATAGCATCTGTTACTATCAGAAATAAATTTTCCATTTACTTGTTACCTGTTGCTTAACCCAGCCACTTCCGTGTTTGAGTATAATCAGGTTTGAGTCTTAACCTCTGTTCTAGCAGTTAGAACAGTGCCTGGTGCCTTGCAAGTCCTTTGCTTTTTAGATTGACTCAAGCCTTTTAAGTTGCCATTTGATGATAGCCGGGGTGGGTAGGCAATAGCAGACTCAAAACACCTTTTAATAGTAAGCATTTGACATATTAAGTATTAGTGTACATTTAATACACATTTTCCTGAGTGGGTGGTTCTCCACTGTCTGAGTGCAACCCCAGATCTGAATTCTTAATTGATTCAGAGGTGGGCCTAGGGTTTTTCCCTTTAAAGTCGCCATATGATTTTCAATGTGCAGCCTATTAAGTATACCACTTTTTTGTCCATTCGCTCAGTTGTGTCCAATTCTGCAACTCTGTGGACTGCAGCATGCCAGGCTTCCCTGTCCTTCCCCATCTCCCAGAGTTTGCTCAAATTCACATTGAGTCGGTGATGCCCTCCAACCATTTCATCCTCTGTTGTCCCCTTCTGCCTTCGTTCTTAACCAGCATCAGGTGGCCAAAGTATTGGAGCTTCAGCTTCAGCTTCAGCTTCAGCATCAGTTCTTCCAATGAATATTCAGGGTTGATTTCTTTAGGAGTGCCTGGTTTGATATTGCTGTCCAAGAGACTCTGAAGAGTCTTCAGCACTACAGTTGGAAGGCATCAATTTTTCAGCGCCCAGTCTTTTTTATTGTCCAGCTCTCACGTCTGTACATGACTACTGGAAAAACCATAGCTTTGACTATACAGACCTTTGTTGGCCAAGTAACTTCCCTGCTTTTTAATATGCTGTCTAGGTTTGTCATTATCCCCATATTTTAGTCAATGGACTAATAATCTTCCTGACCCCCGGGATCACACAACGAAGGGTTTAGGTTCCAGGTGTAATTTGAGTTGGTTTTCTTAATCAGAGGAGCTAGGAAAGATTAGTATCGAGCTTAATGAAAACGGAAAAGTGGTGTGCCTGAGAGCAGTTTCAGTTTTGTGGAATCCGAAGTCCTCTTACTAGGGCTAAACTTGCAATCCTAGTGGAGAGGTCAAGAAATGACAGGATTTACAACAACTCTGCAAGAGCATATACAGGCTAAGACCCTCTGCGAGTCAGGCTTCTAGGCTTCCCCGCCGAACCTTCCACCGAAGAACCTCGATAAAAGCGTAGAACGCAGAATTCTTGAGGGCAAGGTGAGGGGAACGGGAACTCGACGACTGAGTCACAGAGATTGGCTAGTCAGGTACTACTGGTCTAACTCATCAGTACTCTGGAGAGCCTGGTTAGTTTGAATCTTAAAATGCAACCCAGAGAGCCTCACCTCACCAGCCTAGTCCAAGTGCCCACTACCCACCCCATCTATAGTACGTGGCACCACTTTCATGTCGCACTGACCTGCGGTCTGAGCCTCGTTTCCGCAGCCTCCTCCCACCCCGCCCCCTGCAGCCTCGATCCCGCAGGCGGCGGCACCCTAGAGTAGTTGTCCAGTGAGTCCTGGCTGCCTCCCGCCGCCCAAGCACCATCCTGGCGCGGCATCCTGACCCCCGCGGCACGCCCTGAGGTGACCGCCCGCTGGGAAGCTCCCAGCGCCTAGCAACGGGCGCGCGTCGCGGGCGGGCGGGCTGGGGCAGCCGTATCACCCGCATCCGGGCCCAGCAGGGCGGGGCTGAGCGGCGGGCGCGCCGCCCTCCAGAGCAACGCCGGGCTGCCGGCCGCCGAGCATGTTCGCCCAAATAGCGGCGCCCGAATCCCGGCCGGGGGTTCGGCCCGGCGCCGGGCCGCCGCTGGCTCCAGCGCGGTTCGCTGCCCCCGCTGAAGCCGTTGCTTGAACCGCAGACCTGGGCGCCGCCGCCGCGGGCCGGGCCGACGAAGAAGCCCCTCCCGTCCACCGCCGAGCTGCGGGGACAGTGAGTGCCAGCGGTCTTGGTCTCGGGAGCCCCCGCCAGGGACGTCCCGGGGGTAGGGGGTGGCCTAGAGTTAGGCCTGCTAGAGAGGTGGATCGCTGAGGTCAGCTGGTCCGGCCCCCTCCCATCGAAGGGAGCCAGCCTCCTGACACACGTGGATCGCCCCAAGCATCTCCTGATGCTCTTGGAAAGGGGCTTGCGGGGAACCGGGGTTGAGGACCTGAAGGAGGCTGCGGGCGGGACCGGTGCAGAGACGTGCGAGCAAGATCGGGCGAAGAGGCCTGCCTGCAGCATCGAGGCCTTCCCGCACTCCCGCTCACTGGGCCAGCACACTCAGTGGCTCCTCCAGTAGACACACCCTTACGGGTTCACCCTCCTACCCTCCTAGGGCTTAAACTGAAGAGGGGATGGAATGTGTTTCTGTTTTCTTCTTTGACTGCCTCGGCATCTCCCTTCCTTCCCCAACAGCACTTGGGATGCTGACCGTATTGTATTAGTCACATAGCTCTGGCCCGCTTTTCATTGCCATTTTTTCCGCGTCCCATTTCTGATTTACCTATATAATTTGTGTATTTCTTACTTTTTTTCCTCGAGGGATTTAAAATGCTAGACAAATTTGTGCGATGCAGGTAGTCTGTTCTAGTGTACTGGTCTTCTCATACTACAGCCTTCCTAGGGTCATAGACATGGAAACCGTGGAGCTTCTCCATAGATAAATGAAAATTTGCAACCGTTTTCAGGGCTTCCTTTGTGGCTCAGCTGGTTAAGAATCCGCCTGCAGTGTGAGAGACCTGGGTTCGATCCCTGGGTTGGGAACATCCTCTGGGAAAGGAAAAGGCTACCCACTCCAGTATTGTGGCCTAGAGAATTCCATGGACTGTATAGTCCATGGGGTTGCAAAGAGCCAGACAAGACTGAGCAACTTTCAGTCACTCATTCACTCAGGGTATTATACTTTCTGAAGTGCAAGAATCCCTGTTTGTTATCTTTATTGACTTTTTATCTACATTGTTTTTTTAAATTAATTTTTGTTGGATCATTTGGGCTTCCATGATGGGTGAGACAGTAATGCATCTGCCTGCAATGCAGGAGACCCAGGTTTGATTCCTGGGTCAGGAAGATACCCTGGAGAAGCAAATGGCTACCCACTCCAGTATTCTTGCCTGGAGAATCGCATGGATAGAGGAGCCTATAGTTGCTTGACAGTGTTTGTGGTGTTAGTTTCAGCTGTATAGCAAAGTGAATCAGCTATAGGTATACATATATTCCCTCTTTTTTTTTTTGGATTTTCTTCCCATTTCGGTTGCTACAGAGCACTGAGTAGAGTCCCCTGAGATACACAGTAGGTTCTCACTCGTTATCTACTTCATACATGGTGTTAATAGTGTGTGCATCTCAATCCTAGTTCCACCGTTCACCCCATCTACATTTTTAATGGTGAGTTTAAACCTTACATTACATGGCATTTCTTCTAAAATACTTCTGGCTTTTTTTTTTCAAGTTCTTACATTTTTGAAATTGTGTTATAATACAGTTGTACTTCTCATTCAAACAGCACAAAAGTATACAGACTTAAAGGTGAAGCCCTTCGTTTCTACTCCTTTACTTTCCAACACTTCATAGAGTTAATTTCGTATTTATTCTTTCATTCTTTTTACATTTATGTTTTTGATCATTAATGAAATCATATGGATTCTTTTGAGAAATTACCTTTTTAAGAAGATATGGAGAATACCTTTCATATCAATTTGCGTGCATTCTAAGTTGCTTCCATCATGTCCAACTCTTTGCAACCCCATGGACTATAACCCACCAGGCTCCTCTATCCATGGGGATTCTCCAGGCAAGAATATTGAGTGGGCTGCCATGTCCTTCTCCAGGGGATCTTCCTGACCCAGGGATCAAACCCACATTACGTCTCCTACATCTTCTATATTGGCAGGTGGATTCTTTACCACTGGCACCACCTGGGAAGCCACTCATATCAATTTACTTAGATCTTCATTGAATATTTCATAGATGTGTCATATAGATGTATGACCATATGGTATAGATATATCATAATTTATGTAAAAGTTTGGTTCCAATATTTCCTTATCACAAACAATGCAATAGTGAACAGTCTTACACATGGGAACAGTTTTATAAAGTGAATTCCTTAAAGCAGAATTGCTGGGTCAAATGTAATTAAAAAGATATTGGTGGAATCTTGCTTTCCAAAATGTCTTTACTGATTTACATTTCCATAAACAGGCTGTGGTTAAAAAAAACAAAACAAAACAAAAAACCTGTTTATTAGTATTTTAAAAACAAAAGCTCCCACTTATTGAGTGTTTATTATGTGTCCAGCACGGTGCTGAGCACTTGGCATGCGTTTAAAAATTTAATCCTCCCTAACTCTGTGAGAGTCAGAGGCACTATTAATTTCTCCATGACCTCATGATTATGCAGCTTTTGAAGAGCAGAGCCAAGATTAGAATCCAGGTTCATTTAACTGCAGTGCTTGTGTTCTTTGTTGGGTCTGAATGCCTGGTCAGTAGTTGACAGGGAACTGTGTTTCATTGGGTGGTTTGAGGATTCAATGAGATTATGTGTTTGGTGTTACAGTATTATTAACATGTAGTTTCTTTTTCTACTAACTCCTGTAGCATTGGACATGATCCAGTTTTTCCCACGATTCTGGTTTCCCCTGGATCATTTCCCTCTCTAGTCATTTTTCTGCATTCTGTTTATCTTCCTGACTGGCATATATTTTAAGGGAGTCTGGTTTTCTTCTCCCTCGAAAATCTCCGTTGCAAATCTAATCCAATCTTGTTCTCAGTTCTCACCAGTAAATAGATAACTCTTAAAAACTTTATCTCCAGGACTTCCCTGGTAGTCCAGTGGCTAGAGTTCGCCCTCCCAATGCAGAGGGCCTGGGTATGTTCCCCGGTTAGGGAACTAAATCCTGCATGCTACAAGCAAAAGATCTTAAATAGTGAGATGACCATGGGAAATCCCTCAGGCTACAACCAAGATCGAAGACCCCACGTGCTGCAACCAAGACCCAGTGCAACCAGACAAGTGAATATTAAAAAACAAAACAGAACTTCATCTCCGAACCAAACCTATAGCCCTCATTTTCTGTAGCTTAGATCCACATTACATATCTCCACTCCAATGTCCTGTACTCATTTTGTCTAAAACGGAGCTGCTCATTGCCCTCCGCCCCCAGCCAGACTAGCACTTTCTTTGAATTGAATTCATGGTTCCATAATTCTCTTGGTCACCCTAGTTCACAGCCTCAGTCATCTTTGACTTTTTATTTTTCTTTGCTAAACCTCTGAAATCGATGGGTTGTCAGTCTTTTAGCACTCAAGTGTGTCTATGACCTTGCCCTAGTGCTGAACCCCTGTCTTCACTCTCCAGGGCTCTATTCACATCTTTTTTTTTTTTTTAATGTGGACCATTTTTAAAGCGTTTATTGAATTTGTTACAATATTACTTCTTCTTCTTCTTTTTTTAATGTTTTGATTTTTATGTACATGAGGCATGTCAGATCTTAACTCCCTGACTGGGAATTGAAACCTCACCCCTTGCATTAGAAGGTGAAGTCTTAATTACCAAACTGCCAGAGAAGTCCCCCTCCTTTCACGTCTTTATGTTCCCCAGCAGGGCCTCTACCTGCATTTCAGCTGATCTAAATTCTATCTAAATGTCATTTTCCAGTTTATTTCAAGTCTTTTGTGAACCCCCTCATGAAAATTACATCTCTCTCCTTTGAACTCTTCTACTGTGAGAAACTGTATGTCTATCTGTCTAGCTTCCCTAAGACCTGAATGTGGCACTTTCCTTATCTTATAGCTGTGTGAGTGGCTACTGTCTTTCCTTCTGGGTTGGAAATTCTGTGAAAGGAAGAATCTCTAGTTCACCTTTGTATTTGTCATGCATGTAGCACTTTTGTCATGCATAGACTTGTAGATAGTATATACTTAATGAACATGTTTGAGTAAGAGAGCTAATGTATTCACCCTTGGGAATAAAAGATTACATGCATTTGGGTGAGTGCTAAGACACTTAAGTCATGTCTGACTCTTTTCGACCACATGGACTATATAGCCCGCCAGGTTCCTCTGTCCGTGAGACTCTCCAGGCAAGACACTCCAGTTCTCTTGTCTGGAAAATCCCATGGACGGAGGAGCCTGGTAGGCTTTAGTCCATGGGGTCGCAAAGAGTTGGACCCGACTGAGCGACTTCACTTTCACTTTTCACTTTCATGCATTGGAGAAGGAAATGGCAACCCACTCCAGTATTCTTGCCTGGAGAATCCCAGAGACGGGGGAGCCTGGTGGGCTGCCGTCTATGGGGTCGCACAGAGTTGGACACGACTGAGGCGATTTAGCAGCAGCAGCAGCAGCAGCAGCCTTCCTCCAGGGGATCTTCCCAACCTAGGGATCTAACCCAAGTCTCTCATGTCTCCTGCATTGCAGGCAGATACTTTACCATCTGAGCCACCAGAGAAGCCCTGTGTATTAGGGTATTGCTAGCTATAATGACAAATAGTCCCAAACATTTTTGATATAACGTAGAAATTCATTTCTTACAGGACAGTTCCAAGGCAGGTGTTCCTGATCAGCAGGCAGCTTTCTTCCCATTAGTACTAGGATCAAGACTTTTCCATTCATTGGCTTCAATGTTGGTTTAAGTGCAGCCTGTGGGAGGGAAAGGAGGAAGTATGGAGGAAGTAGACCCAGGGGAATTCCCTGGTGGTCTAGTGGTTAGGGCGCTGCGCTCTTACTGCAGAGGCCTCGGGTTCAGCCCTTGGTCAGGGAACTAAAATCCCACAAGCTGAATGGCTTAAAAAAAAAAAAAAAAAAGCAGACCTGCTTCCTGTAAGCTTCTTGCAGAAAGTGTCACACATTGCATCCGCCTGCATTCTAATCAAGGGGAGGTGGCCACTTTCTAGGAACAACTCTATTCTCCGGAGGAGAAAGAACTTGGGGCATCCAGCCTTCTCTGCCACGGTTCATTTCTATTTATCAAAATCTGTGGGGCTTTACTTGCAGATACCTTGCTCAAAAACAAAACCAGACTTGGGCTTCCCTGGTGGCTCAGTGGTAAAGAATCTGCTTGCCAAATTAGGAGACATGGGTTCAATCCCTGGTCTGAGAAGATCCCACATGCTGCAGAACAACTAAGCCCCTGCAGTGAAACCGCTGAGCCCACGTGCCACAACTGCGGAAGCCCATGCGCCCCAGAGCCTGTGCTCTGCAACAAGAAGCCGCTACAGAGAAGCCTGTGAGCCGTAACTGGAGAGTAGCCCCTGCTCCCCACAACTAGAGAAAGCCCGCACAACGAGGAAGATACCCAGCACAGCCAACAGCAAATAAATAAGTTAAAACAGAAAGCAAAACTCTCCTACTGCCCTAATTTGGTTAGGTCAGCAAAAGCTCTGTTGTCCCACAAAATCTAAACACAGAGTTATCATCAGTGTGTATCATAACTGTAATCATTCATTTACTTTGTTCCCCTGAGTAGAGTGTATGCTTTTGCATCATGTTCATTTTTGTATTTCAACTCCTAACACAGTGATTGGCACTGTGGATACATAAACAACTAGCTTTCTCAATGAATCTGCAACTTGCCTTTCTTTATGTTCATTTGATTATTTTGGTTTAATCAAAGCTAAAAATAAAGGTAATATTACCATCTGCTCTTTGATGTTGGGCTGTTTTCAGTCTTTTTGCTTTTCTGTTATAAAAAAATTGTCGAATTTGACATCCTGAAGCTAAATATTTGGATGTTTCATTGATCATTCCTTTAGGATAAACTGGAAGTGGCATTTCTGGGTCCAAAGTATATTTTTAAAAAAAAAATCGACCCCATGGACTGTAGCCCACCAGGCTGTTCTGTCCATGGGATTCTCCAGGCAAGAATACTGGAGTGGGTTGCATTTCCTATTCCAGGGGAATCTTCCAACCCAGGGATCGAACCCAGTCTCCTGTATTGCAGGCAGATTCTTTACCATCTGAGCCTCTTGGGAAGCCCAAAATATATAAAATTATAAAGATATAAGTATTGCTAGGTTGCTCTCTGGAAATATCACACTAACACTTCCGGTGAAATCTTATGAGAGTACCTGCTTCCTTGAACCCCATCTTAAACTGTCTAGTAGTAGAGGAAAAAAGTCTTTACTATTTTCAGGACAGAAGTCATAGCTCATTATGTTATTCTGCTTTTATTTGAATATTAGTGAGGTCAAACCTTTATTTGGCCATGTGTGGGTTTTTCTTTTCTTTTTTTCCTGTAGCAAGTTATCTCTTTTTTAATAAACACACTGTCTTGAGCTTCACTTGCTTGTTGACTTTTAAGTATCTTTACATACAAAAGAAATTAAATTCTTCAGTTCTTTATGTCATTGTTTGAAACATTTTTCTGGGGACTTCTGGCCAGTGTGGCAGAGGAAGCTGACATGGAAGAGACTCCACTTGGCTTCCCTGTATTTCAAATGTGGGGTAAAGTGTATTAAGATAATTTATGGGCATGTGGCTGAGCTAGGAACCAAGAGGAGGAAATCCCCAGGTGGCAGAAATGAAGGAAAGCTCACACAGGAAGGCAGTGCTGAGATCTGCTGGGAGCTGAGAGTCACAAAGGAGTACTGTTCCAGTTACCATGACTGCATCACAAACTTCTCCAAAACTTAGTGGTACACAACAGCCCTTTATTGTGCTCACGAATGCTGTGGGACCGTGCCGGAATTTGGATATGGCAGCGACAGCTTGCCTCTGCTTCACCACGCCTGGGGCCTCAGATGGAAGATTTGGAGGCTTGGGTCTGGGAACACCTGCAGGCAGGCTCACTCCTCCGTCTGGCGGCTGATCCTGGCGGTGGGCTGAGACCTTAGCTGTGGATATCAGATGGAACCTTTCTGTGGTGGCTTCTCCCCGTAGCTTAGCTTCCTCAGAAAATGGTTTTTGTTGTTCAGTCCCATTACCACGTGGTTCAGGGACCACAGTTGAAGAAGTCGGTGTATTAACTGATCTGACACCTCTGAAACCCAGGGCCAGGCAGAGAGCATCTGAGAGCATGCGGAGAGACGCACAGCGGTTTCCGAGCTCGAGGAAGCACTGGTGCCCTGTAGATGGCAGTCTCTCTAAGATGAGCTTGTAGGGGCTTCCCTGGTGACCGGTGGGGAAGAGGCGCCTGCCAGCACAGAAGACTTGTGTTCAACTGCTGGTCCGGGAAGGTCCCACACGCCCTGGAGCAACTAAGCTGGTGTGCCACTTCGAACCTGTGCTCTCGAGCCTGGAGGCCACAGCTAGCTACTGGAGTCCAGCAGCTCTGAAGCCCCTGCTCCACAACAAGAGAAGCCACCACAGTGAAAAGCCCGGGCACCGCAACCAGAGAGTAACCCCTGCTCGCTGCAACTAGAGAAAAATCCACGCAGCGACAAAGACCCAGCACAGCCAAAAAAATAAAAAACCAGAATCCCACCTTCCAATGCAGGGAACTCGGGTTCAATCCCTGGTAGGGGAACCAGGATTCCACATGCAGCTAAGCCTGCAAGCCATGACTAGAGACGCCTACACTCCACAGTGGAGGCCCAGTGCAGCCCAAAACTTTTAAAAAATAAAAATGAGCTTGCAGTCAAAGGTTATAAATCATACAAGGAAGTGGAACCACAAGGAAGGAGACCCAGTGGATGCAGCAAATGGGAGATCTGTGCTCAAAAACGGAAAATAATACACATCTTGGAAAAATTTTTTATAGTATTTAAGGAGATGAAGGGATGAAAACCATAAGGCAAGAATGGGACAGTGTGAATAAGAACAGGAGAGGTCTAAGACTGCACACTTAGCCAGAAGGGTAAAGAGGCAGAGTCACTGAGTCAAGCAGTGCCTCCTGGACTCCAGGTATTAATTGGTTCTTGGCCTGTAATAATAATAATAATCATGATGATTGTAATAATAGCAGTTGTCCTTTGTTTCTACATGTGAAAATACCTTCCTGTAGTCTGTACTGAGATTCTTGTTTGAGAATTAAAGCAGTATACTGCTCATATTCTGCTGGACCATTGCTGAATAGTTCCTGTGTTTTATTATCAGACTTGTGTGTGTGTGTGTGTTCCCCCGTCATGTCCAACTCTTTGCAACCCTGTGGACTATAGCCCATGAGGCTCCTCTGTCCATGGGATTCTCCAGGGAAGAATACTGGAGTGGATAGCCATTTCCTTCTCCAGGGGATCTTCCTGACCCAGGGATTGAACCCCTGTCTCCCACATGCAAGCAGATTCTTTACCATCTGAGCTACCAGGGAAGCCTCATTATATTAGACTTGGAGGGAAGTAATGACACGTTCTCATTTTTAAATAGTTACTTTGCCTTAGCCAGTGTGGCAGAGTCTTCAGAGTTGTATATGATCATGCCATCTGAAAACAGGGACAGTTTTACTGTCTTACTATTTTCTTTCAAATCTGGATGCCTTTTCTTTCTAATTGCTAAGGCTAGGACTGCCAGTACCATGTTGAATGGAAGTTGTGAGACTGGGCATCACTACCTTGTTCCTGATCTTAGAGGAAAGCATTCAGTTTTTACCTTTGATTATGTTGTTAACTGTGGACATTTCATGTATAGCCTTTTTTAATGTTGAGATAATTTCTCTCAGTTTCTAGTTTGTTCAAAGTTTTTATCATGAAAAGATGTTGAATTTTATCAAGTTTTCATGCACCTATTGAGATGATCATGTAGTCTTTAAAAAATCTCTAATTTTATAATGTGATATATCAGTCAATTTTGGTATAGCAAACCATCCTTGCATCTCAGAGACAAACTGCATTTGGTCATGGTGCATAATGGTAATGTTTTTGAGAGAATCCTAAGCATTACATTGTCTTGTAGATGATTACTTGCTCTTGATGGGGAAGGAAATGGCAACCCACTTCAGTATTCTTGCCTGGAGTCTTCTAGGACAAAGGAGCCTGATGGGCTACAGTCCATGGGGTTGAAAAGAGTTGGACGTGACTGAGTGACAACACACACTTGCTTTTGGATTTTAAATTTTTTATGTTGCCAAATACCTGTAACCTTGAATTTGAAAGAATTCATTAAAATTTTTAGAAGAAAAAAGTCTTACAACTTATTTTAGCTTTATCCTTGAAGGCCTCTTGCTTTAAAATCCCAAGGGTCTGTATTTACATATTATAAGTAAACTTTTCATTTAAATCTATATTAATATTTACTTTGTATGATGGAAAACAAATTAGAAAAATGTGTATATCTGAAATACCTTTTTTTTCTTTTGTATTTTGTGCTGTGAATCTGATGCAGTATCTCACTTTCATCAGCACTGTTGAAAGAAGAAGAAATGCCAGTGCTGTCTCCTGAAATCAAATTTGAGCCTTCTACTGTCACCAGAAATACCCTTGATGGTTGTTTTCTTTTTGAGAGTAGTTGGAGGAAAGCAGTGCTAGAAACACAAAAGATGCGGAAAGGTAACTTCCATATTTACTTATTTTACTTAGTAAAATATAGAAGTTGTGCCTTGAATTTACATATAACTTTTTAAGCAGTCAAGAGATGTTAAATAATTTCTGTAACATTTATGTAAGAAGGATAATACCTTAGGCTTATGGAAAAGAGAAATGGAAGCAGATTAGAAATAACTTACTGAAGGTATTTCTGTAAATCATGATAGAAACAAATTCTGAAGACCTAAGCTTGGTTATCAGTGTAGTACTATCTCTGTTGGATCATACTTCTTTTAATAAGTAGTGTTTATTTTTAAATACCTCATGTTGTTTTTTACATTTTAAGAAACCCAAAATTTTAGCAGAACCTTTTTGTATTAATAATTCTAACCAAAATTTTACTTTTTGAGTGAGTTATGTGGAAAGTATCTTATATCTTATAGTTGCTCAGTAAAGACTAAACTGAGAACTTTCAATCTGTATACGAATGTAAAGCTTCCCCCTTAATTTCAAATATAATTGTATTTCCTACTTACCCTGAATTCTGCCTTCCCTTTTATTAATGGAGGTATAATTCTTGAAAATAGCAAAATTCAAACATTTTTTTTGTGTTGCTGTATTCGTCAACATTTCCTCCAGTGTCCCAGTAAAAGTACTCAGAAGACACCAGTTTGTCTGTTCTCCTACCTCCACATCTAATTGCTGAAAAAAGGCTCTATGATTTTTGATGAAGAGAAACTATTTTTTTCCCAAAAGAAAATAATCAAAGGTTGCAAAATAGCATTTTGAGCATATAACTCCAGTCCCATTAAATACTATTTCTATTTCTGTGCTAGATTTACTTAGTAGAGAAAGCTTAAAAAATAATTCTCTATGTTTAAAAATCATCCAAACCTTTCATCTCTTAGTCTGCTTTTTCCACTATCATCATTTTGAACTTTGTTGTTGTTGTTAACATTTTGACAACCTGTTTTACCAGTGATGCATGAGGTCAGTAGAAGAAGCCATCTTGATACTTCAGATGTTGCCCTTTATAGATTTGGTGTGGAATTTTGCAGAGAGAAAATTAAATTCAGTGCCTGAGATGGAATTCTTTTCTCTCTCATTGCTAGCTCAGATAATCCTATATTTGTACGTCTTAATTATCACACAAAAGTAGGAAGATGGAAAGGTTTAAAGTAGCAGATACTGTAAGACTCTTGAAAGTGCTTTTAAACTCTTTTTTAAAATTAATTTTTATTAAATAAATAAATTTAATAATTTCATAAATTTAAATTAATTTGCTTTATAATTTTGTATTATTTTATACTGTACAGCAAAATGAATCAGCTGTACATATCCATACATCTCCCTTTTGGACCCCCTCCCCATTCCAGGCACCACAGTGCATTAAGTAGAGTTCCCTGTGCCATACAGTATGTTTTCATTGTTATTTATTCTATACGTAGTATCAATAGTGTATATGTGTCAATCCCAATCTCCCACTTGCTCCCACCCCCACGTTCCCCCTTGGTATCCATAGATTTGTTCTCTGTGTCTGTGTCTGTTTTGCAAATAAGATCATCTATGTCACTTTTCTAGATTCCACATGTATATGTTAATATATGATATTTTTCTCTTTCTGACTTCACTCTGTATAGAGTCTCTAGGTCCATCCAGATCTCTACAAATGACTGTTTTGTTCCTTTTCGTGGCTGAGTAATATTCCATTGTATACACATACCACATCTTAACCACATACCACATACCACATTTAAACATTCTGCTGTTGATGGACATTTAGGTTGCTTTAATGTCCTAACTATATACTGCTATGAATACTGGGGTCCATGTATCTTTTTGAATTATGGTTTTCTCTGGTTATGTGCCCAGTAGAGGGATTGCTGGGTCCTTTTTTAAGGAAGTTCCACACTGTTTTCCGTAGAGGCTGGATCAGGTTATACTCTCACCAACAGTGTAGGAGAGCTCCCTTTTCTCGATGACTTCTCCAGCATGTTTTGTTTGTAGATTTTTTGATGGCCATTCTGACCACTGTGAGGTGATTCCTGGTTGTAGTTCTGATTTGCATTTCTCTAATAATTAATGGTGATGAGCATCTACTCATGTGTTTGTTGGCCATCTGTAGGTCTTCTTTGGAGAATAAGCTATTTTTCCATCTGAAGGTATCTAATGTTCTGGGAATTCTGGTTGACCAAAATAATGAAGGCAGGGGACAGTGATGACTCTGGATTTGTGAAGCTCTCCTTCCTTCTTCTAGTATTTAGCCCCATAATAAGCTCTTCTCTACTGTCCCTATCCTAAGAATTGAAAGATATTCTCTTGGGAAAGATGCTAGCTCAATTACAGTAGCTTAATTTTATTTTCTTAATGACTGATTTAGTATATGTATTATGCACTTTCATTTATAGTAAAAGAAGTTATATACATTTAATCAAGAAATAATACAGATGGTTATAATACTATTTTAAATTAGAATACACCACAGCGTTTGGTCTAGAAGAATTCAAAGAATGTGTCAAAATGCCATATTTACCAGGATTGCAAAATTGCCAAAAAAGCATAAGTTCCACTCCACTAGAGTTTCATCGAAAACTCCTGCGTGCTGATACTGAGATGCCTCCTGTCAGGTCGGTTGTTTCTACTTGATTTTCTTTTGTTGAATATTTATTTGAAGTAACATGAGTATAGAGATTTTTCTGGCTAGTGAATCTAATTCTTTCTTGCCAACATTATTTTTTTGCATAAAGGATTTAATTTTTTAAAATCTCAATTAGCAATTTTATTCAGTTTGACCAGTAGGTACTTTTTTCTGTTTTCAAGTAATATTGCCAGAAAGAATATAAGAACTAGCCTAAAAAAAAACTTCATTGCTCTAGCATAGATTGCTCATGAGAATATTGAAAGTTTTAGCAATATAAATAAACAAGCTCTCTACAATAGTAACCGATTTCTGTACCCTGAATAGAGAACCTTATTTCATTTCTAGTTTGATTGAAGTGATGTGAGAGGAAATTCTGAGTGAGAATTCAGTCTAATGAAGACCTTGTATTGCTGTCAGATGAAATGAGTTTGTCAACCAGAGAAGTCCCACTGATTTTGAATTATGGCATTTAAAAACATTATTATGAATACCTTTCCTTCTACAAATCAGATAGCATTAAAAGAAAACTTCTTTCTCCAAAGGGACCTATAAATTAGTAAGATAGTCTCATACCCCATTTGGTTCCTGCTTTTATTTATTTTTTCATGAAGTATGTGTTGAATGTGTAGTACTCATTCACTTTCCCAGCCTAAAAAATATGAAGGATTTTCTTTTGTTGAATATTTACTTGTAGTAACACTGCTGAATGTAGAGGTTTTTCTGGCTAATGAATCTAATTCTTTCTTGCCAGTTACTCTCTTTAGTGGAAGATGTAGATTTTCATATTTTCTCCTGCTGTAGTGAGCTTTAAAGACATCTAGTTATACATAGCACACACATAATTGGAATTTTAGAATATATATCTCTTGAGTTTTCAACTAGTGTTATTGGTCTTGTTAATTACTCTTGAAATAAATTTTTGTAATATAAAGAACTAGAATATACTAAAAATGAAAAGTTGTAGATGGTTTATATCTAAATTATGAAAATAAATAATTTGAATTTTGTAGAAAATCTGGAGAAAAAAATAAAAACAATTATTTGATAGCTTACCCATCCTAACATACCCATTTTTATTCTTAGAGCTTCTCTTCTATCATCCTCTATTTTCACAGATTTTTATTTGAGTTGTGATTTTAGTATAATACCCATTTTTCATTCTGCCCCTTTTTACTTAATATTACATGTGTACAATTTTTCCATGTTACTACATAATCTTCAAACAGTCCTTACTGGCCACATTATAAAATATTTTGTTGTTAGATTCATAGTTTATTTAATTTTATTTAATTTTCCTGTCATTGCTTTGACTTTTTTCACTTTGTAAATGACACCATAAATGAACAATAACACACATAAAGCTTTTGCCATTATTTTTAATATCATCCAAGGACAGACTGTCAAGCTATAAAATATAAAAACCAAAATAATTCTTTCTGAAGTGAGATTATAATGAAATAAGGCAGATAGTGAAGGACAGGGAAGCCTGGCATGCTGTAGTCATGGGGTCACCAAGAGTTGGACGTGACTTAGCAACTGAACAAATGCAGAATCAGAGATGGTATAAGAGAGACAGTGAGTTGCTAGTGGAGCAGATGGTAGCAGTTAAAGAGGAGGGATGGCGGGGATATAGAAAGAAGAGAGACCGTTGAAAACATGCATGTGAAAGCTACTTAAGGACACTGAGTTTCTTTTATTATCAAGATACCTGTTTCCCCAACACTCAGCTCACTCTTGTCTTTGAGTAAAAGTGTGTAGGGCTGCCTATGGCCATGGCCTTATCTCAGTACAGACTAGTCTTACTACCCTTATTTCAATCACATGACCATCTTAAAGAAACTGCGAATCCAGAAAACATCCCCTGAATTAACCCATTTGATCTTTAGATTTTAAATCTTATTTGTCTTCCTACCTTTTTCATCAGATTTCAGTTCATTATGTTTTTCATTTACAATTTGGCCATATGTGAAATGATTTCTTAATATTTTACATTGACTTGAGTGTGAATTTACTTACTTTAATCAAGAATAATCTGAACATATTATATTTAGGTTATGACAAGTGTTCTTCAGACACAGAATAGAAGAGTGGTGGCTTAGAACTATGCTGTTTACAAAGTACTTGGCGGACATAAATATTATTTCTTTTTCCTGTGTCTTTATTTTAGCCATTCTACTGAGAACATGTCAAGTTGCCTACAAGTATTTTATTCTCCTCTACATATTGCACAATGCCCTATGAAAGGACAGTCTTGGCAAAGCAGGAAAGTACTCATTTTTGTCTGTCTTGTATACAATCACTTACTCTTAAAAAAAAATTTCTGTATATATGGATATTTGATTTTATATTATGATAAAAGTTTAATGTGTTTTTAAGTTTCTTTAATGATAAAATTTTTCAGTGAATTGCAAGGTGATGTATTTTGGTAATGTAATTGATAATAGTCCTAGAGGTGAACTGCATTTAAAAGTTACACTTGACTCTTCTGCGTATGATATGATAAACTGCCACCAGCTGTCATGCTAGCAGAACTGAAGCAATGATTTGTGAGTTTAGTTCCATTAAATTAATATTATGAAATTGACACAATATGACCTCTCAACTCACCAGTGTTATCTTTAAAAGTTCCATGCAGCCAAGCACAAGATATTTGTTCTGATACTGGATACTTTTTTTTTTAAATGGATGTTCTATGTTTTTTGAGGACGTGGCGCTAGTGGTAAAGAATCCATCTGCCAAGACAGGAGATGTAGGAGATGCAGGTTCGATCCCTAGGTCAGGAAGATCCCCTGGAGAAGGGCATGGCAACCCACTCCATGCCTACAGTATTCTTGCCTGGAGAATCCCATGGACAGAGAAGCCTGGTGGGCTATATAGTCCATAGGGTCACAAAGAGTTGGACACAACTTAAGTGAATTAGCACACGAATGCACAAAGCCCTTCACACTAAAAAGGTTAATCGTAGAATTTCAATTATCTCTCAGTAGGTGCAAGAGAATCTGAGGAGTATTCTTGCTGCTGCTGCTGCTGCTGCTGCTGCTACTAGGGACCACTAAAAGCTTATTATAACAATCAGAAAGGCTGGTCTTGAGTGCCAACCTCAGTGTAAATACTAGGTATACTTATCTCAACTGTACCCATATTTGATGTCTAGGAGGGGTGATGTTGCCATGGTAATAAGTTGCTAGGATACCTCCCACCAGTCATGTAAGCTGACTTTGTTTAGTGTATTACATGGATTAAGAATGAATATATGTTTTGATTGAATAGAGGCAAAAAAAGTTATAGCTGATTTGTAAGTTTAGTGTACTTACAAGAAATTTAGAATGCTTATGGGTTATCTTACCTAGAGCCAATTTGATCATGATGTATTTCCTCTAATAACTTACTCATTATTTAGGTTTATTCCAGTAGGAACAGAAGTTGATTATGACAAAATTCCGATTGTGGTCATTAATAGGTAAAAAGCACAAATAACTGATAGTTGGTATCTGGCTTAAAAAGAGTGAAAAGGCTGTCTTAAAACTCAACATTCAAAAAGCATGGCATCCAGTCCCATCACTTCATGGCAAATAGATGGGGAAACAATGGAAACAGTGAGAAACTTTATTTTCTTGGGCTCCAAAATCACTGCAAATGGTGACTGCAGCCATGTAATTAAAAGACGCTTGTTCCTTGGAAGAAAAGCTATGACCAACCTAGACAGCATATTAAAAAGCAGAGGCATTACTTTGCTGACCAAGGTCTGTCTAGTCAAAGCTATGGTTTTTCCAGTAGTCATGTATGGATGTGAGAGTTGGACCATGAAGTAAGCTGAGTGCTGAAGAATTGATGCTTTTGAACTATGGTGATGGAGAAGACTTTTGAGAGTCCCTTGGACTACAAGGAGATCAAACCAGTCCATCCTAAAGGAAATCAGTCCTGAGTATTCATTGGAAGGACTGATGCTGAAGCTGAAGCTCCAGTCCTTTGACCACATATGAAGAACTGACTCATGGGAAAAGACCCTGATGCTGGGAAAGATTGAAGGCAGGAGGAGAAGGGGATGACAGAGGATGAGATGGTTGGATGGTATCACCCATTTGATGGACGTGAGTTTGAGCAAGCTCCAGGAGTTGGTGATGAACAGGGAAGCCTGACGTGCTGCAGTCCATGGGGTCAGAGTCGACTGAGCGACTGAACTGAACTGAACTGGTATCTGGTATATCTAAATATTATGCTAATTAATCTTAAGTCCCTTCCTCCAGCATTCCCTGAAGCATGATTAGTGATAAGTTCAGATAAAGGTGGGAAAAGGATGACAAAGCACTCACCCATTGGTAAAATTTATTAGCAAAAACCAAGATACTGAGTTGGTTCATATCTGCTTCTGATGGGGTTATTTGTGATGGGAGGAGTTTCCTTCCTTTAATGTTTATTTAATTTTTATATGATGTCCTTCAATAAGTGAATTTCACTAAAAGCAAGCTTCTTGTCTCAATGTATTTTAAAAAATTAATGTACCCTGGATTTATATGAAGTGAATTTATGATAATATATAATTTTAGGTTAAAGAAGACTAAGCCCACATGTACTGTGACACCACTTCAGGAGAAATCGAAAGGTAAGCTGGATCATCTTTTTCTCCTACTACTTGTCTTATGAAGGGTGTGAAAACACTTATCTTTTTTAAAACTTCCTTTCTTTCCACTGACTTAATTATCTTTGTTTTGTTAATTTTTCTTTTAAGCTGTGTTTATTTTATAAATTTAAGTGCATGTTGCATTCAATATATACATGCCTTTATCGTGTCATGTTGGAAGATGGAGCGAATAAACAGTACCTCTCAAAATGAGAAGGCACCTTGAGACCGAAAACCAAGGCAGACAGTGCCATTTAATCAATGGATCAGCTTATTATATGGTAACTTACTCACAGTGTGGGAGTTCCAGGGCGAACAACTTGGAAACATCTGTAGCTGCATTCTGCATTACCGAGTGGCTGTTGGGACAAATTTATAGTTAACCTAGCGTATGAGGGTATGTGCTTAGAAACGGGAAGAACATTCCTAAGTCAAGATTTATGAGTGGGTAACTATTCTCATGGGTGCCAGGAATATGTCAGGGAAGGTCTTCATCATTGTTTGGAGACCACCTGGTCCTTATAATTTGTTGTTGTTTAGTCACTAAGTCGTGTCTGATTCTTGCAGCCCCATGGACTGTACCCCGCCAGGCAGTATGGAAAACAGTATGGAGTTTCCTCAAAAAATTAAAAATAAAGCTACCATGTAATCCATCAATCCCAGCACTGGATATATTTCCAAAAGAAATGAAATCCATATCTCAAAGAGATATCTGAACTCACATAATCACTGCAGTATTATTCACAACAGCCAAGATATGGAAACAATCTAAGTGTCCATTGACAGATAAATGGATAAAGAAAATGCAATATATATATACCCAATGGAATATTATTTTGCCATAAAAAAATAAGGAAATCCTACCTTTGTAACAATGTGGATGAACCCAGAACACTTTATATAAGTGAAGTAAGTCAGATAGAGAAAGACAAATGTTGCATGGTATCACTTAATATGTAGAATCTTTTAAAACGTCAAACAGAAACAGAGTAGAATAGTGGTTATCAGTAAGTGGGGACTGGGGAAAATGGGGGAGATGTTTTGGAGATATAATGTACAGCATGGTGACTGAAGTTAGTAATACTATATGATGTATTGAAGTTTGCTGAGATAGTAGAATTTTAAGTGTTCTCATCTCCTCTCCCCCTCAAGAAGGTAAACAAGTAAGGTGATTGAGTGTTAATTAACTTAATTATGATAATCATTTTACAATGTTTATGTATATCAAGTCATCAGTGAGTGAGTGAGTGAGTGGTAGTCGCTCAGTTGTGTTTGGCTCTTTGCGACCCTATGGACCATAGTCTGCCAGGCTCCTCTGTCCGTGGAATTCTCCAGGCAAGAATGCTAGAGTGGGTTGCCGTTTCCTTCTTCAGGGGATCTTCCCAACCCAGGGATTGAACCCAGGTCTCCTGTATTGTAGGCGGTTTCTTTACTGTCTTACCAGGGAAGCAAGTCATCAGTGGTATATTTTAAACATACACAATTTGTATCATATATGCCTCAATAAAATTGGTAAAAGATGGAAAACAATATATCACAGGATTAATAAAATGAAATCTAGAGCATTATGAAAGTACCCAATTAAAGTGAAGAGAGAAAGATAATACAGAACAGTATGCAAAGACAATATGTGATTAGATAAAACTACTTTGAAAGTGAAAGAAAGTGAAAGTGAAGTCGCTCAGTCGTGTTGGACTCTTTGTGACCCTGTGGACTGTAGCCTACCAGGCTCCTCTGTCCGTGGGATTCTCCAGGCAAGGATACTGGAGTGGGTTGCCATTTTTTTTACACATGTATAATTCTAATTCCAGATTAAGAGGAGCAAGAGAAAGTGAGACAAGCACTATTTACTTACTGGCTGAGAATTTCCCAAACTGAAAAATACTAAACAATGGATTCAAAAATTCTATGAACCTCCAGCAGAATAGTGACAAAGAAAATCATAGTCACATCGTAGTAAAAATGCTAAATATTTTTTTAAAAAGGGAAAAAACAGAAAAAGATAAGTTCTCTTCTGGAGAGCAATGGTAAGACATACAACTGACTTTCCAGTGGAGACAGTGGAAGCAAGAAGACAAAGCAGTGGTATTTTCAAGTGCTGAATGACAGTAACTGCCAAACTCGCTTTGTATACACAATGAAAATATCCTTAAAAGTAAAAACAAAATAAAGACATTGTTATTCAAATGGAAGTTGAAAGATTTCATTGTCAGTAGAGCTACACTGAAAGAAATATTAAAGAAATAATGATACAAGATGAAAGCATGACAACTTGTGAAGGAAAGAGAAGCAATGGCAGTAATATTGTCTTATGAAGTTTAAAATGCATGTAGAAATAAAATACAATAATACCGCAGAGGTGGGATGGGGCACACATGGAGTTAAAATGTTGTAAGATCCTTGCATTATTTGAAGTATAGTAATTAAGATAAAGTGAATTGTAGGGACTTCCCCTTGGTGGTCCAGTGATTAAGACTCTATGCTTCCTGATTGGGGAATTAAGATCCCACACGCCACGTAGCACAGCCAAAAAATAAAGTTTCTTTTAAAAAGTCAATTGTAATCAAAGAGATGTGATAAAATCTATATGATAACCACTAAAAGAAAAGGATACAAGTAATAAGATTATAGAGGAAAAAAAAGTAAAAAATATTTAATCATCTCAAAGCAAGAAAAGAGGAAAAAAGAAATATGAAATAGGACAAGTAGAAAACAACTAGTAATATTAAAATTAAGCATACAATAAATACATTGGATATAAGTGGACTAAATATTTCAGTTAAAAACAAAACCCATCAGACTAATACAAATAATTATATGCTGGTTATAAGAAGCACACCTTAAAAATAAGGGCAGGAAAGATCAAAAATAAAAGGATAGAAAAATATAAACCATGTAAATGGTAGTTAAAAGAAAGCGTGTTATAGCTACACTAACATCAAACAAAATAAACTTCAAAGCAGGAAGTATTATGCACAATTGAGTGATATTTCATAGTAGCAAAAGGATTAATACAACAGAAAGATTTAACCATCCTAAATTTGTATGCTCTATTAACATAATATACACAAAGATCAAAGGAATGTAATGAAAAAGAAAGTAGACATTATAGGAGATTTTTAAACAAATATCAAATAAGTGAAATCATGTAGCACATATTCTCTGACTGCAGTGGAATTAAACTAGAAATCAGTAATTAAAAATAATTATAAAATCCCACAGAGATTTGGGTATTAAGAAATGTACTTTTAAGTAACTTGTGAGTCAAAGAAGAAATACAATGGAATTTACATATTAGTTTGAAATGAAGGATGATGAAAATATGATACATCAAAACTCCTTGGGTACAGTAAAAACATAGCTTTTAGGGAAACTTAAAGCATGAAGCACCTGTGTTAGAAAAGATGAAAGGCTTAAGAAGCAATGATTTTAACATTAATCTCAAGAATTTAACAAAAGATCAGCATATTAAATTCAAAGAAAATAAAAGGAAAAAGTAATCAAGAGCAAAAATCAACAAAGTTAGAAAACAAATATTCAATCAAGAAAAATCAACAAAAGCCAAAAGTTCATTTTTTAAAAATGTGAATAAAATTGATAAATGTCTAGCAAGACTGACAGGAGAGAGAGAGATTATCAGTATCATATTACAAAAAAAGAAACCACAACCTAGCAGAATTGACACTGGTAAGTTCTTCCAAGATTGATATATTAATTTCTAATTGGAGGATAATTGCTTTACAACTGTTGTGTTGATTTCTGCCATACAGCACCACGAATCAGTCATGAGTATACACATATCCCCTCACTCTGGAGCCTGTCTCCCACCCACCCCTCATCCCACCCGTCTAGGTTGTCAGAGGACACTGTGTTGAGCTCCCTGAGCGAATGCCCACTAGTTACCTGTTTTACACAAGGGAGTGTACATATGTCAACGCTCCTTCCTCAGTTTGTCCCACCCTCTCCTAGTCCGTCCTCTGCATCTGCATCTCTATTCCTGCCCGCAGATCGGTTCATCAGTACCATTTTTCTAGATGCACATATACTATGTGTTAATATACAATATTTGTTTTTCTTTTTCTGACTTACTTCACTCTGTATAACAGGCTCTAGGTTCATCCATCTCCGTTCAGCTGACTCACATTCATTCCTTCTTATGGCTGAGAAATATTCCATTGTATATATGTACCACAACTTCTTTACCCAACATTTAATTTTAAAAAGCTGTGTAATATAAATTATTCCAGAATATAGGAAGAGAAGGAACACTTGAAGACCCATTTTATTAGGTCACTAACCTTGATTCTAAAACCTAGCTTTGACCTTATAAGAAACTTAAAATTATAGACCAATTTTTCTTAAGAAAATAGAAGTAAAAATTCTAAACAAGGCTTATCAATTCAAATTCAGTGATATATAAGAAGGATAATTCAACACACCATGTCAGATTTATCTAAGAAATGTGAGATTGATTTAACATTAGAAAAGCGATTGATGTCTATCATCTTGTTAATAGAATAAAGGAGAAACTGCATATGTTCACTTTAATAATTGTAAAAGATATTTTAATAGGATTCAATATTCATGATTAAAAATATTTTTAGCAAACTATGAGTAGAAGGAAACTGTCTTAATTTGATAAAGATGGTCTTTAAAAAAACCTACAGTAAACGGTACACTCAAACAACTAATGGGAAGAAATTACAAGAGAATTTTGAAAATTTCTGGGGACAAATAAAAATTAAAAAATGCAACGTACCTATAGGTTGCAGCAAAAGCAGTGTGCTAAGAGTGAAATTTACAGTGGCAAACACATTAAAAAAAAGAAAGAAAAAGATCTTGAATGAACCACATAAACTGACACCTCAAGGAATTACAAAAAGAAGAATAAGCCCAAACTTAGCAAAAGGAAGAAAATAATAAACATTAGAGAAGAGACAAATGAGCTTCCTTGGTGACTCAATGGCAAAGAATCTGCCTGCATTGCAGGAGATGCAGGTTCGATCCCTGGGTTGGGAAGATCCCCTGGAGAAGGAAGTGGCAACTTACTCTGGTATTTTTGCCTGGGAAATCCCAGGAACAGAGGAGCCTGGCGGGCTACAGTCCATGGGGTTGCACCAGAGTGGGACGTGACTTAGTGACTAAACAGCAACAAAACAAAATGAAGCGAACAGAAAACAAATCAACAGGACCAAGACTTAGTTTTTAGAAAAGATAAACAAAGTTGACAAATCCTTGGTTACACTAGAAAAAAACAGAGAAGACAACAAATAGTTAAAATTAGGAATGAAAGGGGACATTATAACTGATTACAGGAAAAAAAGGATTTTTTTTTAACCAAAAAAAAAAAAAAGGGTTATAAGAAGCTACTATGAACAATTATGTCAACAAATTGGGTAACGTAGAAAAAATGGGTAAGTTCATAGAAACATACAACCTACCAAGACTGAATCATGAACAAGGGACAAACTGCGCAGAGTTATAGAGGACTATTGAGGAGATTAAAGCAGTTATCAAATATATCCCAACAAAAACATAAGTCCAGAAATCTAGGATAAGAGGACTGTAATTTTAAAATTTGCACATTTGCTCATATCTTACTGGTTCACACTCGCTAACAAAGCTATGCTTAGCTCTAAAGCAAGCTGAGACAGGTAATCTCTCCCTTTTAGCTGACCTTGTCCTCAGCTAAAATTCTGTTTTGGAAAGTGTAAAAAGTTTTGAAAAGATCATTTATAGTCTGCCATAATTCTTTTACAATTAAATTTATAGCTTTCTCTTGCAGATATTTGGAAATGCAGTTAATTTTTGCAATTTGATCCTACAGTCATTCACCTTGATAACGTCTCGTGTTATTTCTTGGTTTATGTTTTAAATTGTGTATATATATTAATTTATTATATGCAATGTATATAATTTTTTAGTTGTTTATGTAGATTACCATATGTGAATGATGTCAGTTTTATTCTTTCTTTCCAAAGGTTTTTCCTACCCCCCACCCAAGCTTTTATTTTTCTGACTTTACTAAGCTGACTAGAACCACCAATACAGTGGTGAATAGAAATGAAAAATAGGCATCTTTGATTTGTTTCTGATTTTAAAGGAAACTCCCTTAATGTTTTCTCATAAAGAATGATGTGTAGTGTAGGTTTTGTGTATATATCCTTTATCAAGATAAAGAAGTTCTCTTTAATTTGCTCAGAGTTTTTTATTTTAAAAACAAATGAAAGTTTAATTTTATCAAACATTTTCTTCTGAATTGATTGAAATGACCTTGTGATTTTCTGTTTAATTTTCTAATGTGAAAAATGACATTTGTAGATTTTGTTTAACGTTCAGCCACTTTTACATCCCTTGGATTCCCACATTTAAGGCATAATTCATTATCATTTTGTGTACTACCATATTTAATATTTTGCTAGGTTTTAAAAATCTATCTTAATGAGTGAGATTACCACTGATTTTCTCTTTGCCTGAATTCAGTGTCAAGATTATAATGCCCTCATCAGATAAACTGGGGAGTATTCTGCTTTTTCTGTTCTCTGAAGGATATGACCTAAAATTGGAATGATTTCTCCCTTGAAAGTCTGATAGAGTTCATTTGTAAAATTATTTGGATCACTTGTTTCCTTTGGAGGAATTTTATAATATTAATTCAATCATTTTAATTTTAGGACTCTTAAGGCATTGTAATTCTCCTTCCATCAATTTTGGTAAGTTATATTTTCTAGGATTTTGCATTTTGTCTACATTTTAAAATTTATTGGCATGAAATTTAGTTTTAGTTCTATCTGTATTTCTCCTAATATTAGTTATTTAGGTCTTCTGTTTTTTTTCTTAATTAATTGAACCAGAGAATTTCCCTTTTTTATTAGTTTTTTCAAGGAAGAATTTTTATCTTTTTAAAAAATCTTTCTTTTTGTAAGTTTGTTTTTTACTTCATTGAATTTTCTTTCCTGTATTACATCCTTCCTCCATATTCTTTTGGAGAAGGAAATGGCAACCCATTCCAGCATTCTTGCCTGGAAAACTTCATGGCCAGAAGAGCCAGGGGTCGAAAGGAGTCACCCACAGCCAAGCGACTGAGCACATCCATATTCTTTGGGTTGTTCTTTTCCTAATGTATGTCTTATATTGAGCTTATTAATTTTCAATCTTCTTTTCTAAAACAGGAATCTTAAGGTAAAACCTCCTATGTACAACTTTTGCTACATCACACAAGTTTTGTAATTTTTTCTTGATCAGTTAGTTATTTTTAGTGTTTATTACAATTTATTTTTGATGAATGACTAATTTAGAATGTGTATACGTTTCTAAATATTTGAAAATTTAAAAATTTACTGTTAATTTCCAATTTAATTGCGTTGGTCTGTGTGATACCAGTTCTTTGACTTGTTTTGAGGTTTGCTTAAATGCTTGCTCAGTGCTCAGTTGCTCAGTTGTGTCCGACTCTTTTTGACCTCATGGGCTGTAGCCCTGTTTTCTCCTCTGTCCATGGGGTTTTCCAGGAAAGAATACTTCAGTGGGCTGTCATTTCCTTCTGCAATAATTCTTAGAATCTACTTTTTGCAGCCAGAGACTCTAAGTGTCCAGTTCATTGTACTGCTAAGAACTGGAATCCTGCTCAGCTCTTCCCTTCTACTCTTTCTCTGAAATTTCCACCCTCATTACGCACTGAAATAAAAGAAAAATACCAACCACATTGGAGAACTGAAGACAGTTTTTATTTTGGGCACTTGAAACTGAAGTTAAATAATAGTATTTTAAAGAAATATGGGTCAGTCTATTACTATTAAAGCCTTGTATGTTTCTAAATAGAAGAATTTATACATATTACATAGGAACTTTGAATCGATGGATCTTGATTTCAATCCTGCCTCTAACAATTTCTAAACTCTTTTTAAAATCTGTAATCCAAGATAGTACTAATTACTGACTTCATAGTATTGATGTGTGGATGATATAGATGAAAAATACTTGACATACAAGAGATCATTCAATTAATGTTATCTATTATTATTGTTATTACTCTCCTTCTATAATAGAAACTTCATTACTGCTGTTTCAGTTAGTGACTCATTTTATAATTTTACTCTTTTACTTCACCTAACATTTATGAGAAATGATTTTATTTGTAGACAATAACAAACTGATTTAGTTTTATATCATTAAATACCGGCATTGAGCATTTTTGAGTTAAATATTTTTTGGATGACTTGTCATCCCTGTGGCTCAGATGGTAAAGAATCAGCCTGCAATGCAGGAGACCCAGGTTCGATTCCTGGGTCAGGAAGATCCTCTGGAGAAGGGAATGGCAACCCACTCCAGTATTCTTGCCTGGAGAATCCACATGGACAGAAGATCCTGGCAGGCTACAGTCCATGGGGTCACAAAGAGTTGGACAAGACTGAACGACTGAATGCTTTCACTTTGCCATTCCACTCACTTAGAAAGTTAAGTGGCTTTCATTTCTACTTCAAAGAATGTGTTGTATGAAGAACTAGTGGTGTTTAATGGTTATTTGAGGAAAAGATATTTTATTTGTACTCTAAAGAGAGTATCATTCATGTGTGCATAATTCAATTGTAATAAGTGGTTTTTTTTTTGTTTTTTTTGTTTACAGGTTCTGGCTTCAGCGATCCTCTCGATGGAGCACCATCTCAGTACTTACAGAGACTTTCCAACATGGCCATTTTGGAGTATGACACCATTCGTCAAGAAACAGGCAAAAAATTTAAAAAGAGCAAGAAACGAGAGCTTCGAGACTGCTGATTATCATACACTGTGATGCTTTCTTCACTGACTTTTAAAGTTTATATTTTTCCTTTCTTTTCTTTTTTGATATGTGATATGATGTGCAATGATTTACATAAAAATGGAAATGTAAATAGGAAATAAATGTTTTCTGTTATATACAAAATATATTGTATTTTGTTAGTCTCACAGAGACACTAAGATAATTATTTTTATAGTTGATACACATAAGCATAAGAAAAATTTTAGTCTGTCAATTTTCTGCACATCAATTACACCTTTGGATTCTATTTGATAAATGCTTTTTGAGTGTCTGTCTTTATGATGAGCTTTGCTAGAAGCTGCAACAGATTCAAGAGTGAGTCTTTATTTTGGGGGTTAGAAAACACCCAATGAGATCCTTGCCTTGTCCTTGCTTGAGTTTGGAAGCAGTTTTGAGGTAAGTATTCAAGCAGATGAAAATGAGAATATTCGTTTTGTTTGTTGCTAAAACTTGGAAAGGAAATGCTGCCTTAGATGTATGGCAGCAGTGGATTTCCTAACACTGAACATGAGAATTGAGCAAATGCACACCCTCAGGTATCGCTGACAACCTCAGGCTCACCTGCTCAGTCAGGCCTTTACTGACAGGCAGAACAAGGCATCTCTCCTGCATACACAGGGCATCCCTGAAGGGAAAGGGGGTGGGAGAGAGACCCGCTGTATCTCTGTGGGGAGGAGGAAGGTCTAGGTCAAGAGCAGAAAACCTTCCTCAAGATAGCCTGAGGAAGGACTTGCCTGGCCGTCCAGTGGTTAAGACTTGACCTTTCAATGCAGGGGGTGCTGGTTCAATCCCCGGGCGGAGAGCTAAGATCTATGTGCCTTGCAGCCAGAATATCAAGACATAAAAAAGAGAAGTGATATTGTAACAAATTCAATAAAGACTTTGAAGATGGTCCACATCAAAAAGAAAAAAAAAAAGCATAAAAAGAAAAAAGAAAGCCTGAGGAGCTGGGGAGAAGTGTTTGTCAATACACCACCCTGAAGTGTTTGTCAATACACCAATGACTGATCCAGTGGAGAATGAGAAATGGGCCGTAAGAGGCCCACGGAGTGTTAACAGAGTTTCAAAAATGAAGCCGGAACTAACATCCAGCAGGGAAGTCAGAGAAAGCTTCACGGAAGATGCAGTGTTAGAAATGGGCCTTAAAGACATGGACGGTGGATGGAGAGGGCATATCTAGGAAAATGGAATAACCTAAGCAAGGAATATTATGCGTTTGGGAATGAGGCACTTGGCTGGAGTGTTAGGTAGTACAGGGGAGACCATCAATTCACCTGCCTACAGACACCAAGCCGGTAGCACACTGAATGTCACCAACCAGATGAAGGCCGTGGTGAGCTGGGGCATGTTTTTCCATTCATAGATGGGCACTCACTGCCTAGCTTCAGTTCTTCTGTCATGTGAGAAGCCAGAATCTGGAGTTTTATGTCAAATTTCCTGGAAGGTAGTATATTCTTTCAAAGCTGCATATTCAATTTTTTCTACATTTTGGGGAAACTTTTTCTTTCATTGCATCTTTGAATATTTACTCTTTCTGTCCCATATTTTTGAATTCTCTACTTCAGGAACACCAAATATGCTTGAGATCATCTTTATCTGTTTTAAATATCTGGAGTACTGGAAACTTCAGATTTGTCAGTACTTTTCTATTTTCCAACTAATCTGTGGGATTTTTTTTCTCACCCAGCTGTGCTGGCCGTTGATGATTTTAGCGTTTCTTTCAGGTCAACAATTCTCCACTGTGTCCGGCAAGGTGATGGCATTATTTTCCCACTTCATAGATAGAGAAATTGTGATTTACTAGCTTACCCAAGTTCCCAGAGCTCTCAGGTTCCAGAGCCTGTACTTGAACCTGTGATTTCCTGAACCCCATGTCCCCGCTTTCTCCATCACAGTACAGCTTCTTTGAAAATGTCTTCTTGAATGTCCTTCCAGCTCAAAAAATGCTCATGGGCAGGTCCATACCTGCCCTGCTCAGACTAACCCATCAGCAGCATTTGATTGATGAGCCATTTGTGGTGGGCACTTGATGAGAGCTGTGCGGACAAAGTCAATTGTCCCTAATTCCTCCTTCCTCACTCCATTTAGGATGTGAAGCTTCAGGGGAGAGATAGTCTAGCTTTCCCACCTCAGAAAATCAGTGGCAATATTATAAACCCTAAGGTATAGTTTAAAATTTAAATAATCACTGGCATCTTTGTAGTGATTTGTAGTTTACAAAGCACTTAAACTCACATGATCTCATTAGTGCCTTGAAAGATGAGGTTAAACGGGGCTGTTGTGTATGGACAGTTTCATTGATGATGACAGTAGGGGGTTCCCATCATGCCACGAGGCTACTGACAAGCAGCTTTGTAGCACCTGGTCATCAGGAACACGTTATAAAGCTTCTTTAGGTCCATTGTAGACCCATATAATCAGTCATATATTTTCAAGTGCTTAGCATGTATTTGTTTTTTCTATCCAGATTTTTCTCCTCTGAAAATAAGGGTGGACTGCCCATTGGAATTATGAACTAGCTCCTATTGGAATGGGTTTGGGGTGCTGAATGAATGAGTACTGTCAGCAGATAGCCCTAACTGAACTAAGGTCTGCTTTAGAATAAATATTTGTAAATATTTAATAAATAATATTATTTATTAATAATATTTAATAAATATTCCTCAAGCAGTTTTTGCCTCTTAATGTACAGCTTTTTCAGAATGCTTATGGTCTGTATCCTGATTGATGCCTGTGTTTAAAGAAGTATAGAAATTGCCACCAGAACCTGATGATTCCACCAAACTGTTGAACTAAACACAGGAAATGTGTGAGTTCACATTTACGAACACAACTTACTTTCCTCGGAATATAAGTGGATACCTATATAAAATGGACAGATGAGGGGAAGAATGCTTTTGATGCATGGAGTGTTTCTCTTGGGTCATTTGTTAATCTGATACTAAAGAGATATCAGCCTGTAACTTTCCTACAACTCCACAAACTTGAGAATAATCCAAGGTAACATGCACATGAAGATAAACCAAAAACCTGTCTCCCAAAAATGACCTGGTGAAATAATGCCATGAAGGAGCTCATCCTAAAGTTGATAACTCTGAGGGATGTGACGGACAAAGTCTATGCTTCTGGAGTACTGTTTTGGCAACAATAAAAAGGTGGACTAAAAGAAAGGGCATTCTGAGCCATGACAAGTCAATGTAATTTAATACAAATGTATTTTAGTGGATTAAATACATTCAAAAATTGATGTACAGTTTAGAAGATTTGGCGCATAAACTTGAAGCAATTTCAGATAACTATCCATCCCCCCACTACCGGTCCTGTTTGGACTATCCCTCCGGAGATCCAGCCCAGGGTCAGGGAGGTGGCCTTGGGGGCCAGACTGAAGACCCACGAGGCCAGTTGGTTGCTGGGAGGCACGTGTGTTGCTGTCAGAGTAGTTGGGGTTGTGGAGCATATCCTGGACCTTAGACCTTCTAGTCACATAGTGAGTATCTGCCCAGCCAGATGGAGTTCCGAGAGTCAGGTTAGAATACTAACCACTTGGGGTCTGATGTCAGGTTGCGGATGTACTAAGTTGCTTCAGTTGTGTCTGACTCTTTGCAACCCTATTGACTGTAGCCCGCCAGTCTCCTCTATCTGTGGGATTCTCCAAGCATGAATACTGGAGTGGGTTGCATGCCCTCCTCCAAGGGATATTTCTGACCCAGGAACTGAATTCACATCTCCCGGAAGCCCCTGATAGCAGACTGTCTGGGGTCAAATCTCCACCCTGAAACTTGCTAGTTGTTTAACTGTGGTCAGGTTTCTTTGCCTCCCCAAGTGTCATCTGGGAAATTGAGATGTAAAAAAAAAAAAAAACCCACACAATAATACCAACACCTCCTTCTTGGGGGTGTTGGGAGTGTTAAGGAAATAACGTGTATAAAGCTCTGAACCCCATGTCTACCACTTGGAGTTTAATCATGTTATTTTAATCCTTGAGGATGGTTCCCATCTTGGCGTGTGGGGAGGGGGGTTGTGGGAAACAGACGCCCTACAGAATAGTTCTGTAAGCTGAGAAAGGCTGATCAAACACTTTCCCCAATTTGGAAGGGGTTGAGTGAGATACAGTTACAAATTCCTGATTTTCTTTTCAATCTTGGCAGAAAGGTTATAATTTTAATAAGATGAAAGGGGGCTTGCAGGCTCCTGACAACAAAGAAAATCACCACTGTGTGTTTGAGCTTTTTCTTAATAGTCTTAAGGAACCGGATTAAGCAATCTGGAGAGAAGGGAGACCCCGGTGCTCCCCACTGAGACATGGTTTGCCCTCTGGGGTGCAGGGAGCAGAGAGGAACCCAACTGGAGTCCTCTTTTGATAACCGCTGAGGTTAAGATGGGGATGGTGGTACAAGCGTGTTAAGACTTTTCCCAGCATTCCTAAGCTCTCCTGGCGGCTCTGATGTCTTAAATGACCTGTTCACAATTGTGAACTTAGGGGAAAGTGAGGGTGTCCCTACTCTGTTTTTGAGAGATAATAAGTAAATACTCATATCAGAGTTCAAATATTGATGCATATTCTCTTAAGTGAACTTTTACATTGGACGTTTTCTTTCCCCTTCACTTTCCAAGTAAAGAACAGCAATATCCATGTTATTTTGGTTCAAGAAAACAGCAGAGGGACTTCCCTGGTGGTCCAGTGGTTAAGACTTCGCCTTCCAATGCAGGGAGTTTGGGTTCTATCCCTGATTGGGGAGCTAAGATCCCACATGCATTGAGGCCAAAAAAACAAAATATAAAACAGAGGCAATATTGTAACAAATTCAATAAAGACTATAAATATGGCCCACATCAAAGAGAAAACAAAGAAAACGGCAGAGAATCTGATTCCTTCACTCACACTCCTGCCAGACTGTCTCCTCCTTTCAGGGTTTTTCTTTTTTTCTTTATTCACTGCTCTGTTGCCCAGTGTTTAACATGAATGCAGGAAAGACACATAGGAACAATGCACTCGAAATTGTCTGTCATGAGTGATTTAACTATAGTATTCTGCTTCTGTCTTGAGAACAGTCGTCTCCGCTCCCCACCCCCACTCCCTTAGTTGCCGAGGAAGTATTAATATTTCTAGGAGTCTGAGAACA